CCCCCTCCCTCTCTCCCTCCCTCCCTCCTTCTCCCTCTCCCTCCCTCTCCCCCTCTCTCTTCTCCCCACCCCAGGCCACTATCACTGCGTCCCTCACTCTGAGCCCCTTCTCTTGCCCAGACGATGAATCCGCCGGACTATATGGATTCCTGAACGTCATTGTCCATTCGGCCACAGGATTCAAACAGAGCTCAAGTAAGTGAGAGCTGTGGGAAGGGGGCAGCTCCCTGTGCGGCCCCACCAGGCAGCTTCACGGGGTGCTGAGCAGTGCCTGCCAAACCAGCCACGCATGAACTGGGAATGTGGCCTGGGTGTGGAAGCTCCCTCCACGCCCAGGCGGGTGAAAGCAAGGATGACCGTGGCCTTCCACGTGACCGGTGCCCTGGCCTGTCCCCAGGCACACAGTTACTGGTGGCTCCAGGTATGGGGTGAGAAGGCTCTGCAAAGGCTTGGAGGAGGGAGATGAGCAGCTTACCTCGAAGCCAGAGGACACAAAGTCCGGGGAAGGGAGGAGGGATGGAGCGTGTCAAATCTGTTCTGGAGGCCGAAGGCGCCCCGGGAGTGGATTGAGTAGGGGGGCCACGGTCAGACTTTGGAGGCTGAGTGGAGGGGAGGAGACTGAGGCAGGCAGCCCCACCCCCAGCAGCTATCACCACGGTCAAGACGGATGGGATGAGGGCCTGCGCCAGGCTGGGAGCAGGGGCAGGCCACAGAGGCCAAGGGAATAAGGTCTGTTTTGGATGTATTGGGTTTAAGAAGTCTATTGGGTATCCAGTTGGAGAAGCGAGGGGCAGGTCAGCAGAGAGGTTGGGGCAGAACCCAGAGATGGTCGTTTAATCCATGGGGGCTGACGAAGTCACCCGGACAGTGGGACCAAGGGGGGAGGGGCAGAGCCCAGGGGGAGAGGCGTGGCCCGGAGGGGGAGGAGGGGAACTGAGGGAGCCTGGGGCAGGGTGACCACCAGGGAGCACTGTGTGGAAGAAGGTCTGGAAGAGCGAGTCTCAGCTCAGGGGACCCAGGGAGCTGCCCGGGCCAGATGAAAACGGAAGCGGGCGCCGTTCACCAGAAGAAGCAAAAGGAACGTTAGGGGTGTGGCCGGTCGGGGCCTGGGAATCTCCTGCCCACGGCCCTCAGCCTTGCTTCACGTCCGCTGCCCTCCTGTGCGGGGTGCAGATCTGCTCCCCTGTGCTGCCCAGTCTAGGCTCAGGTCCCAGGGACCCTTTCCTCCCTGGTGGGTTCCTCTACCTCGGGAAGGATGAAATGTGAAGGAGGCAGGTGGGGGCCCCCTCAGCTCCCCAGGCTGCTGAGTCTGGCAGAGCAAGGGGGCTCCAGCAGGAGTCTGGATAACTGGGGCCCCCCGTGTCTGTGAGGCCTAGGGAGAGTGCTCCAGCAGGGGTCTGGATAACGGGCCCCCCGTGTCTGTGAGGCCCAGCGAGAGTGCTCCAGCAGGGGTCTGGATAACGGGCCCCCCGTGTCTGTGAGGCCTAGGGAGAGTGCTCCAGCGGTGGTCTGGATAACTGGGGTCCCCCGTGTCTGTGAGGCCCAGCGAGAGTGCTCCAGCAGGGGTCTGGATAATTGGGGTCCCCCGTGTCTGTGAGGCCCAGCGAGAATGCTCCAGCGGGGGAGTCCCTGGGGGCCGGGCCTGGCCCTGGTGCTGGGATCCTCCTCCGCCGGGCCTCCCAGCTCTCCCCAAGCCTGTTCGTCTTCCTTTGCTGTTCTCTTTCTTTGCGGAGCAGCAGGAGGGTGACCCTGGTCAGGGCCCTTCACTGCTGCCTGCCTCAGTTTCCTCATTTGTAACATGGGGGTCATCGTCGCTTCTCCCCTCCCAGGATTGTTGTGAGGATAAACAAAGTAGCCCTTGCTGCATGCCTTGCAAACCTGCTGGTATTATCACTGTTATTACGCTTGATGGTCAGGTCAGGCCCGCACTCCAGCCTGGGGCCTGTGAGCCGCCGCAGAGAGCCCCATCTTAGATCACAGTGTCAGTCTGCAGGAGCGGGAGAGTGTCCTCAGTGTCTGAGGGCCGTCCTGGGGATGGAGGCTGGGCCGGATGGAGGGGGGCGGGGAACCGCGGAGCTGCAGGTTCTGGCTCAGTGTCAGAGAAGACTGTGTCCCATGAGGTGCCGTGACAGGTAGTGAGCTCCCCATCCCCAGAGGCCTCCAACCAGAGGCTGGCCAGGTGTGACGTCATGTGGCTCCGGGTGATGCCCTGGGGAAGGGCCTTTCTCAGCTTTAACCCTTGTGCCCTGAATGTAGCTGAGGCAGGGCCTCAGGACACCGCACAGTGCCCTGACCATTTGGCCGCCCCTTGTGCCCTCCTCAGATCTCTACTGCACATTGGAAGTGGATTCCTTTGGGTACTTTGTGAACAAAGCCAAGACTCGGGTCTATAGAGACACAACTGAGCCCAACTGGAATGAGGTGAGGAGGGGACAGGGGAGGAGGGGAAGGCATGGGGGGGGGGCACAGGAGGGGAGGGGCAAAGCACAGGAGGGGAGGGGGGGCACAGGGGGAGGCACAGGAGGGGAGGGGGGAGGAGGGGGAGGCACGGGGGGAAGCACAGGAGGGGAGGGGGAGGGGGCGCAGGAGGGGAGGGGGAGGAGGGACAGGGACGCAGGAGGGGAGGAGGGAGGGGGGAGGAGGGGGCGCAGGAGGAGAGGGTAGCTTCTCCAGGAAGTGGTGTCTTGCCCAACCGCGTCTCTGCCAAGGATGGACTTCACCGGGAGATGGTTTCCTTGGCGCCTGGGGGGCAGGGCCGCGCCAGGGCCCCGCGCACTCTGCCCAGCTGATGCCCGCCGTCGGGCCCCTGCCGCTCACGCCCGGCTTTTCCTCCTCTCCCGACCCGGCGGTAGGAGTTTGAGATCGAGTTAGAGGGCTCCCAGAGCCTCCGGATTCTGTGCTACGAGAAATGTCACAACAAGGCCAAGCTCAGCAAGGATGACGGCGAGCCCAGTGACCGGATGATGGGCAAAGGCCAGCTGCAGGTGAGGCCGGGCTGCAGCCCCTCCTCCGCCCCTCCGCCCCCGGGGGGTGCAGCCACCAGCAGACCCAGCTTGGGGCAGGGCAGGACGGTGCCTGGGGCGCTACCTGTGGGCAGAGGGTCTGAGAGCACTGGGGAGTCCCCCCATTACTCCAGAGGAGAGCAGAGCTCCTCTCCCTGAACGTCCCTCCGTTCCCCTGGCGCGATGAGGACTTAGCTCCTTGTGTCCAGCACCGCCCCTCCTGGGCGCTGGCGCCATCCCCTCCTCCCCTGGTCTCCTTCGAGGTTCCTTCTGCGGGCGCGCATCCCCCCCGGGCCGCTTCCTTGGGGCCCCTTCTCTGCTTCCTCCCGACAGCCTGCTGTGGGCCCGAGGGGCCGGGACGTTTGTGGCCTGCCCGATGCAGGGCGGCAGGGGGTGCCGTGGACTCGGGGTCAGGCGGTCCTTCCTCTTACGGTCTCTTGGCCACGTCCATCCGGGATTCTCCTCAGGCCCTCGGGCGCTCCATTGGGCACACAGCCTGTGTGCTGACTTGCTCCTTCCCTCTGGCTACGCGACTGGCCCGGAGTTCTTTATTCTGGCCTCATGTGGTTCTCTTGATGTCTTCGAGGCCACGTCTCCCCTGTAACTGTGCCTTCCTCTCCTCTGACCTCGGGGCTTGGGAAGATTACTACTCGGACTTAAACCTGGCAAAAGACTGGGATGATGTGGGAGTGGAGAGGGACCTTAGGCCTCAGGTCAGGTGTGGGCCCGGTGCACTGCCTGAGGGAGGGTTATCAGAGTGCTCTGTGGTTGTTCGTCCACTTGGTTGTTCCTGTGTGGATGGTGCAGCTGAGCTCTTCCGAATGAGGATTTCTCCCACCCAGGAGCTCCTGTGATGGTCTAGGGAACAGCGTGATTCCCTGGAGGGCCTCCCATCCCTCCCTGGAGAGCTTGGCACTGGGTCTCCTCCACGGGAGGGGACGGCAGGTGGCTCCTTGTTTGTTACAAGCTAGGGACCCGAGGATGAGTGACTGAACAGCGCTCTGTGTTCTACTGTTCAGTGACCCTTGTACTCTGGTGGCATGTGTGCCTCGTCTGGTTTCGAGGTGGGTGCACACAGAGCCCCGAGGGCCTGCTATCTGCCTCCTCATAATCGACCAAGGGTTGGCTAAGATGCGTACCACCAAGGAGGCTGGCAATGGGCTTGCCAATGTGGCCAGGTGAGGAAGCAGGCCCTGGGCGGAGGAACCCGGTGTTCTCTTGGGATCCTTGTGGACAGGGGCTGGATCCTTGTGGACAAGGTCTGGATTGCTCTGGACAGGGTCTGAATCCTCTCAGACAAGATCTGGATCCTTGTGGACAGGATTCAGATCACTCTGGACACGGTCTGGATCTCCACAGACAGGGTCTGGATTCTCACAGACAGGATCTAGATCCTCTCACACAGGGTCTGAATCTTCTCGGACAGGATCCAGAGATCCTCTTGGACAGGGTCTGGTTCACTCTGGACAGGGTCTGGATCCTTGCAGACAGGGTCTAGATCCTCTTGGACAAGGTCTGGATCTCTCTGGACAGGATCTGGATCACTAGCCTAGCGGGGCTGCTCTTCCCTCCCTTTTCTCCTTTCCTCCTTCTCTCTGTAGGCGCGTCCCGGACGTGGTAGTTGAGTTCCGGGGGGCAGTTGGCTGGCCAGGCGAGCCTTAGCAGATCTGTTTGGGTTCTTCCCCGCTTGTGGCCTCCTTCGCGCCCTCGGGACGGCTTGGCTTGGTTGGATTCCTCTTTCCTTGAGGTTGTTCTGCTCCTTCCTGGCACTCTCTTTCTCTAGAGTTCAGTCGGCTGTACGTTCTAAACCCGTGCGGCCTTGGCTGCACAGTGAGAAGATGGCGTGTTTGCTGGCTGAAGAGTCTTCTGGGCCCTTTGGCCTCAGCGTGTGGGGAGGGAGCAGACGGGGCATTGCCATGAAGACAGAGTTCCCAGGTCGGGAGGGAGAGGAAGGGTCGAGGATGACTCTGAGGAAGGCTGGTGGGGTGCTGGCATGGGGGAGTGGGGAGGATGATCTCCAGGATGGTGCGGGGCAGGAGCAGGCAGGTGGAGATGTGGGACCTGAATCGTGAGGCTGAGTACGCAGGGCTGTGCGCCACGTAGGAGGGATGATGGAGGAGACCAGATCACTTAGGAATAAGGGGTAGGGGAGAGCCTTGAGGGGCATGCAGGCTGGGGAGGATGAGGGAGGTGCCCCTAGCAAGGCGGGTTGGGAGGCAGTGGTCATCGAAGAAGGTGGAGACCCGAGGCTGAGCGAGACGGGGCTGGCCGCGCTAAAGCAGGAAGGTCAACGATGAAGAAGCCTGCGGAATCCCTGGTAACGACCAGCACGGGCTCCTTCTGAGAGCCGTCCTCTCAAAGCGAGGGGGCCTGCAGCCAGAGGCTGGTAAGCACCTGCTCTCTGAGAGTCTGAAAAGCAGGAAGTATGTTGGAGGCAGTGTGGTCCAGTGGAAGCAGTCCTGGCGTCCCAGGTCTTGAGTTGGAATCCCTGCTCTACCCCTTCCTGAGTGACTTTGGACACGGCCCTTCCCCCTGCTTGGCTCCGTGGCGACCTAGCTTGGTGATGCTAGCACGGCCGCTTCTGGGAACAGTGGGGTCATGGGAAAGGTTAAGGAGGAGGGACCTGAGCATGTTTGTAGGGAGTGAGGAAGGAGCCAGCCTCTGAGGAGAGAAGAGGGCCTGGCTGCCCAAGGCACCAGCGGTTCTTGTTTGTCATTATTCACGTTTATTATACTGACTGACGTGCGTGTAGGAGAGTGCCTTAGGAGAGGCACACTGAGGCTCCCGGGGGGGACAGGAAAGCTCCTCTTTGAGGAAAGACAGCCTCGGCCCCAGTTGGTGTGAGGCCGAGGAGGGGGTGACAGCCTGGGGGGGATCTAGAAGCAGGGTGGGGGGGTGCCAAAGCTGAGCCTCAAGGGAGGTCAGAGGAGAGCAGGGAGCATCCCAGGCTGGCTGTGGACCCAGGAGCTCCAGATTGCTGGCCGCAGCCAGAAGGTTGGGCCGGGAAGGCAGGAGACTCCACTTGGGGAGGGTCGGCTGGGGCCGGACTGAGCAGGGCCGAGGACTGCGCATCTGTCTCTTGGAGGGAGGAGGGGGCTACGGACATGTTGGGAGTACGGAGGGTAGGAAGAGGATCCATCATCGGGGGCTGAGAGCCCAGAGTCCCCTGGGTCAGGCCTATCCTTCTCACAGCAGCTGCATCGGTCCTCCCAGGCAGAGGCCGACCAGCGCCAAGCTGGGCCTTGAACACCATCCCCTCCTCCCTCCCAGGTTTCCCAGCAGAGAGTGAATCACCTGCTGCCTGGACAACCCATAGAAACCAGGCAGGGCACAGCAGTGTTTGTTGACAGAGGAAATGACGGACCCAGGGACGGAGGGAAGGAGTGGGGGGGGACGGAATCCTCCAGGCCAGGCCAGGGAACACAGGAACTGCCTGTTTTCTATGAGTTCTTTGTTTTTTTGGCCTCGCGTGGGCAGAAGGTCTCCTTCCGCAGTAGCGTCCAAAGTGTGGGCGGCGCCAGCCTTCCTACATCGGTCCCATGGCGGGGTGCCCCGTAGAAGGGGCCTCGGTCCCACCCAAGTCCCAGAGCCACGGTCCAAATCCACCAGTCAGCCCACTCGTGTGTATTGAACTCCTATGCACTAGGTACCAGCCACGGTCTGGGGGCGGGAGAGGAAGCTGATTGGAGCTGGATGTTAGGAAATAGGAGATCCATTCCACCCTAGGAGGGGGTGAGCTCCCCATCCGTGGACGGGGTGAGCTCCCCATCCGTGGAGGGGGTGAGCTCCCCATCCGTGGAGGGGTGAGCTCCCCATCCGTGGAGGGGTGAGCTCCCCAGCCGTGGAGGGAGGTTTCTGGGTAGTGGCCGGATGAGCACCACTCAGGTGTCAGGGAGGCCGGGGGTGGGGATTTCTTTGGTGGGCTGGGTCTCCAGAGGCCAGGATTCTGCAAAGTCGGTCCCTTGGGTGCGGAATGGAAGGAGCCAGCGGGGAAGGGCCACCCCTGTCTGCTGTGCTGGGGAGGCCCCGAGGTCCCTGGGTGTGACCTTCAATGCCTGCTGATGCTCCAGGGCTCCCCCCAGGCAGAGCCTGGGCTGCCAGGGCAGGGCCAGAGCCTGCCCTCTGAGTTTGCTGGGCCTGGGCAGGGCTGGGGTCTGGGATCTGGGGAAGGCCATGGCCCCAGGGGCCTTGTTGGGGCCGAGCTGACCACCAGCACTGCCCAGCACTGGCTCCTCTTTCCACATTCCCCTCGTCCTGCCCCCTCCGAGATGTCCCTGAGCCCCACTCTTCTCCAGGGCTTCCCCCGGCCAGGGATTTCCTGTTTGTCCCTCCCTGCTGGCCCTTGAGCCTCGGCCTTCTCATCCAGAGTCCTTCCTGTGAAGCCCGGGCTATTCTGGAGGGCAGCCTTGGGACCCAGGAGGGACCAGAGAGGAGCCGTTTGGCTGGCATGGCTGGGGGGGTGCCTGTGCCCACCCTTGGCAAGGTGGGCGGGCTTTGCCCTCGGTCCCAGGCAGCAGCCGGTGCCCCTAGGGACATGCTTAGTGACATGGAGGCTGGACTTTCAGCCAAGCCATCAACATTTATTAAGCACCTGCTGCACGCCAGGCACTGCGCAAAGCGCTGGGGATAAAAAAGAGGCCGTCGCCGTCCTTCCTCCAGGAGCTCAGCCTGATGGGGCAGACAGCATGCAAACACATATCCACGGCCAGCTCTCCATGGGCTACGCAGGAGATAAGGGTTGGCCCCAGCCTAGCCTCCAGCCTCCAGCCTCCAGCCCATCACGGCTGGTTCTAGGGCCGTTGGGGGCAGGAGCAGGAGCTGGGGAGGGGCTTGCCCAAAGCGTGCCAGGGGTAGTGAGCTCCCCGTCTTGGAGGTCTCCAAAAAGCACCCTGTGGATGAGCCCTCATCTGAGGATGGGGAAGCCGGCAGGGGGTGGGGTCTGGCCTCCTGCGAGGCTCCTTCCGACCCTGCACAGCAGATCTTAGCCATAATGAGACCCCGACGGAAAATGTTACTTGGCATTCCCTGGAATGGAAGCCAGGCCTTTCAGAAAGGAAACGGACCTGCTCCTGTTTCTGACAACAAATAGCGGCCTGATACACATTCCCGTAACCGTCAGCTGTGGGGGGAAACATATACCCAGGAGAGAGGGAGGCCTGGTCTGTGCGAGGGCGGGGCCTTCCTGAGACAGCGGACTAAAAGCCGCCGCCTAAAGCCGCCACCGCTCACTGCCTGACTCCTTCCTGGGCTCCAGCACCCTGAGGGGGAGGATGAAGGAGGCGCCCACCATCTCCACGGTCGCAGCCATGCTGGGGCTCTGCCGGAGCTGGTGGGGCCAGGGCAGGGCACTGTGGGCCCACGTTCACCGCCGAATGTGCAGGGGCAAGGTTAGTGTGGCTGGGGATGCTCTGAGGGGGCAGTTAGCGTTCGCTTGTGTCCCGCGAAAGGCCCCTGGAGTCCTCTGGGCCAGCTCTCCACACCGGGGGCCTCCCAGCGACCACTTGGACACATGGAGTGATGGGGAGCTCACCACCTTTGTGCTGAGCCTGGCCAGCCCATGTTAGGGCGCTCTCACTGGCCAAGGGCTTCATTGTTGCCCAGTCCTGCCTCCAGGAGCCTCACGGGCCCCCCCTTCTCTCTAGGTTGTGGGTCCTGTGGGATGGAGAAGTGGGGAGAGCAGCCAGGCCAGCATAGCCCAAGCAGGTGCTGCGGGGCTCCGAAGGCCTCCCCTGGGGACCAGAGCAGTGTGGTCTGCAGCAGGAGGGAGGCCAGCCTCTGGCTTGGAGCCTTCTCACTGGGGCCGGCGGGGGCCGGCGGGAGGCGAAGGAGGCTTGCGGAGTAAGTCTAGGGAGAGGGGGCCACCTTATGAGGCTGCATCCTTGGAGCGCCATGCTCTCTGCACCGGGGACTGGGGACAGAGCCTCGGCCCTCAGGCCAGGGCAGCTGCCTCCGCTTCCCTGGGACCTTGGGCAAACCCTTGTGGATCTCAGATTCCTCATCTGTAAGATGGATAGGCTGGTCGGGATGGTCTCTGGGGCCCTCCTCCCTCTAGATGTATGAGTCTTTCTCTGTGGTGTTTGGGCCCGTGACCTGAGGCGGCCTCTGCCTTCCCTGGGCCTCAGGCTTCATGTGCTCAGGGACAGCTGGAGGGTGAATGACCTGAATGACCGCTGGGCCCCCCCAGAAGCCCCGCCTCACAGCCCTGCCTGAGCAAGAGTTCCTGAGTATTGGTGAGAGAGGGGGCCTCCTCAGCCCACACTGATGCCCTCAGCGTGCCAGGGTTAAAGGCCCAGACATCATCCAGCCTCCTGCCTGCGTGACCGTGGCTGGCACTGGGGACCAGTCTGCTGTGGCCAGCCAGCATCTGGGGGCAGACCCTCCCCCCCTGCCCACATGCTGGTGATGCCCACCTTTGGGCCTGATGCCAGGGCCTTCTCCGGGTACTCCTGTATTTAAGGTGTATGGTCTGCGCACTTCAGGGAGAGCCTTCCCCACACCCGTGGCTCGCAGCCCTGGGAGCCGGGCCCAGGCTCCTGGGCTGCCTTGTTAAGAGATGGGCACCAACCTGGGCCTCCCTTAGGTAACCCCCTGGGGCTCTGGAGATGCAGGCCTCCAGGAGCCTGCTGAAACTGCTTTCCTCCACACTGGCCCGAGCCCTGAGGTCCAGGCTGGTGTGGGGGAGTGACTGGGGGGCCCGGACGGCCAGGTCACAAGGCTGCTGCTTGTCTTTCAGCTGGACCCCCAGGCCCTCCAGGATAAAGATTGGCAGCGTGCCGTCATCGCCATGAACGGCGTAAGCGTGAGGCCACAAGGGGAGCGGGGGTGGGGGCCCGGGCCGTGGCAGACCTGACCCCTGACCTTTGCCCCCTGTCCCACGTAGATCGAGGTGAAGCTGTCCGTGAAGTTCACCAGCCGGGAATTCAGCTTGAAAAGGATGCCTTCCCGCAAGCAGACCGGCGTCTTTGGGGTCAAGATTGGCGTCGTCACCAAGTGAGTGGCGGCCATCGCTGCTGAGGGGAGCAAGCACGGGGGGCACCCCGGGGCCGGGGGCTCCGCACCACCTGGACAGGGCTCCAGCCACAGGCTTGACTCCCAGCCGGGCCTCCCGGGCTGGGCTCCAGGGTCGATCCTTCCGCGTGATGAACTCGTCACGGGCGCCGGCTCCTTCTGACCACAGCCTGGCGTGCCCCTCCTGGGCTTCCCCTCCTGCACCTTCCAGGACAGCTCTCCCCGGGACCCCGCCTCCCGCCCTTCCCCACTCCCCGTGGCATCTTCCCCAGACGCGGCCGAGGCCACCACGCGGCAAAGGGCGAGCTCCCCGTGGGGTTCCGGTGGGGGGCCCGGCAGGAGGCGACGAACATTCAGTAAGCGGGCTGCGGAGCAAGGCCCGCAAGTGGACAGGACCCTCAGGACGGGAGGGCTGGCTGGGTGCGCCTGGCAGGCTCAGAGCAGAGGCCCGGGGATGTAGGCAGATGCTGCCGCCACCACAGGGAGGCCCTGCCCCTGCAGACCGAGATTGGAGCAGAGCTAGCCAGAGAGGGAGGGGAGGAGGGAAGGGAGCCGGCTCGGTGACGGGGCCGTCCACTAAGCCCCTGCGAGGTGTGTAGGGGTCCAGAGAGACCCCTGAGCTTGGAGTCGGGTTCAAATCCCACTTCAGACACTCGCTTTTTCTGTGGCCCTGGGGGAGGTACTTAATCTCACTGTGCCTCAGTTTCCTCAACTATTCAATGGGAGAGTTGGCCTCAAATGTCAGCCTTCTGGCGCTGACTCCCAGAACTCCTCTGTGATGAGGAGGCGAGGGGAGGTGGGAAGGCCTTGAACGCCAGGGAACAGAGCTTGTGTCGGTCTCGGTGGTTAGCAGGGAGCCATAGCAGATGGCTGAGCACAGGAGGGACCTCGCCAGATCTGAGTTGCCAGTAGCAGGAGAGAAGTCCTGAAGGTTGCTGATGGGGCAGGCCATGGGGTCGGGAGAGTTAGGGCCGCTAAAATCACTAGCAGAACCAGGCTCCTCCAGGCCTCCTCGGAGGGGGTCCCAGGGGTGGATGTCAAGCCCTACCTTTGGGCTCCGACCTGGATGGGGGAGCCTTGATGGGGACAGGCGAGAAGTCCAGCGTGCAGAGAAGGGTGCTGTCATCCTCCTTCCCCCAGCCCTTCTTGCAAGGGTCTGCTTCTGTCCTGGGATCCGAGGCGGGCCCAGTCGGCCTCGTTGGGGCTTCATTGGCCTGGGCCGGACACTTGGGGTCATCTGGACGGGGTCACCGAGGTCCAGGGGCTGGCCCAGGCTCACACAGCACACTCTGGGCAGAAGTGGGATTTGTCTCTTGAAGGCTCTGCGAGGCAGGAGCTCTCCCAATGCTTGGCTTGCGTTGCATTGCATTGCGATGCAGGGGCTTGGCCCCACGGGGCAGAGTGGCTCTAGTCAGATGGTGGTCGGCTCACTCACCGTCTTCCCACGTGCCCTGCTCCCCTGCGCCATTTCCTTCTGTTGGTGGAAAGAGCCAGAGGGCCAACGCATCGTGCCTGACTAGGGCCCCTCCACCTGGGCCCGCTCCGGCATGTCCCAGGATGGGACCCTCTGGCTTTCACTTTGCTTGTCCACACAGGAGGGATCAGATGCCCTGGGGGCCCCCCCAGCTCCACAGTCCTGGGGCCAGGCTCCCAAGTTTCACAGATGCAGATTTGGCCTGTGGGGCAGCGGGTGGTCCTGGGAGGTAGCGAGCACAGCCTTCAGGGCAGGCCAGACAGGATTGTGATGGTCACTCCCACTCCTCCTGGCCACTTTGTCCAAATGGCATTCTTGTCCCTTGCAGGAGGGAGAGGTCCAAGGTGCCTTACATCGTGCGCCAGTGCGTGGAGGAGATCGAGCGCCGGGGAATGGAGGAAGTGGGCATCTACCGCGTGTCAGGCGTGGCCACCGACATCCAGGCCTTGAAGGCCGCCTTCGACGTCAGTGAGTCCCCAGAGGTCCCACTGGGGGAAGTGGGGAGGTCAGGGGGAGGCCTGGCCCCGATGCTGCTCCTCCAGGCACCTGCTGGCCTCAGTTTCCTCTGCCAGGCCAGGGGATGCCGGCAGGGCCCCACCCAGAACCAGGGACTTCCCCTGAGCCAGGCTCATCGAAGGATTTGTGTCCCCACAAGATGGGGGCAGTTTCGAATCAGAGAACACACTCACTCAACGTGGGAAGGACATGTCTGCCAACGCTCCCAGGCGGGTGGTTGCCCAGAGCCCTCCCGGGGTCGCTGGCTTCATGCTTCCCGTCCACAGGGTTAGGGGCTCCGGGCTAAGGGGGAATGAGAGTGTGACAGAGCCTCGATTGCCACTCTTGGTGGAAAAAACTGGGCTGGTGCCTATGCTGGGCTGCAGTGAGGCCTTGGAGGGAGTGGATGAGGAGAAACTTCCAGCCTATTGGAGACCCCAAAGTCAGCCTGAATCCAGCCTTCTGCGTCTGCTTTCAGACAATAAAGACGTATCTGTGATGATGAGTGAGATGGACGTCAACGCGATTGCGGGGACACTCAAGTTGTACTTCCGAGAACTGCCCGAGCCCCTCTTCACAGACGAGCTCTACCCCAGCTTTGCAGAGGGCATCGGTAAGTCCCCCAGCCCAGTAGCCGTGCATGCCCCGGGGGCTCCTGTGCAGGTGTTCTGCCCCACACCAGGGTCCAAGGTGGCTGCGGGCCAGGCCTCAGCCCCACACCTGGAGGGTCCTTCCCTGTGGGGTCTCCCTGACCACAGCCTTCCTGGGCTCTGCCCGGAGACCTCTGTAGCTCCTGGGGCAATCTGGCCCACACCTGGAGGGCTCTCCTGCCCAGACTGCTTTTGCCTCCTTCTCTTCACCAGCTGGTGGGGAGCTTCCTACTCAAGCTGGTGCATGGAGACTGGACCCTTCAGGGGGGTCCAGGACCTTCAGGGGTTCCTGGGTCCTTCAGGGGTTCCTGGGCCCTTCAGGGCTTCCTGGCCCTTCAGCGGTTCCTGGGCCCTTCATGGGGTCCGGACCCTTGTGGGCTTCATGGAAGGCTGCCCCTGGCAGGCCAGGCCCCCTTCACTTTCCCAATGCTGGGTCATGCCGGGGCTCCCATGGGGTCCTTTTTTCAATCGCTTTCAGAGGATCTGCCGTCCCCCCAGCCCTCCCATGTAGGCTTGTGAGTTTGCCGAATACAAATGAATGATAAGATGTGACGGGATCCTCAGTAGATCCTTTCTTTCTGGATTTGGCCGGCCTTTCCCTTTCATCTGTCTAGATGTGGGCAGAGGTCAGCCCTTCCAGCTGCAGGCTGCCCGCGTCTTCATCCCGACCTCGATCAAAGCCTCAAACGGTTAAGAAAGGCCAAGGACAGAGCCCTGTGGCAGCCGACTGGGAACCCGTCTCTGAGGTGGCCCTGACTCCTTTCTCCAACTCTCTCTGCAGCACTTTCGGACCCTGTGGCAAAAGAGAGCTGTATGTTGAACCTGCTGCTGTCCCTTCCTGAGCCCAGCCTCCTCACCTTCCTCTTCCTTCTGGACCATTTGAAAAGGTACTGGCTGAGGTGGCGGCCTCCCCTTCTGGCCTGGAGCCTGGGTGCCCTTCCCAGGCCCAGCACAGGCCCAGCCGGACTGCTGCCTCTTCCTGCCCTTGGCAGAGGCTCTGAGCGGTGCCCCCCCCCCCGGGGCTCTGCCTTCACCTGCCTGCCTGTGCCCCCAGGGTGGCAGAGAAGGAGACGGTCAACAAGATGTCCCTCCACAACCTGGCCACGGTCTTCGGCCCCACCCTGCTGAGGCCTTCGGAGAAGGAAAGCAAAGTGCCCCCGACCCCGAGCCAGCCCATCACCATGGCCGACAGCTGGTCCCTAGAAGTCATGGCCCAGGTACGGGGCGGGGTGCCCGCCAGGTGGTGGGGTGGGGTGGGGCACCAGGGAGGCCGTCCGCCGTCTACCGATCAGGACGTGGCGTCTCCGAGGGCAGTTTGCTTCCCCGGCTACGAGGGCTAGGGAGCAGCCTGGCTGAGCCAAGAGTTTCCGTCTCCTCCTGCCAGTCCTGGGCTCAGCTGGGGGAATGGGCTGCCTGTCCCAGGGTGCCTCTGGGGCCCCTCGGCCTGGGCTCTCTGCTCGCGCTCCAGGGCTCGCGGGAAGCTGGCCCCTTTGGTGTGTGGCCAGCCCGAAGCCGCCCTGCAGACTTGCCTCTTCCCCTCCCCCTCCTCCACAGGTCCAGGTGCTGCTCTATTTTCTGCAGCTGGAGACGCTGCCAGCTCCGGACACCAAGAGACAGAGCATCCTTTTTTCCACCGAAGTCTGATTGCCGGACTGCGCGGCAGGAGACTGGGAGAGTGGGCCAGAGGCCACGGGGGCCCCGAGCAGAGAAGAGGGAGCCCCTTAGACCCCAGGAGCCGAGGCAGCTGAGGCCCCGGGCCGGCGCCTCGGATGCCCCAAGGCCTCCCCTGGGCCGAAGCTCTGGCCGCCCTCCTCTTGGCCCTCGGGAAGGGTTTGAGCACGGAGCTCAAGGACAACACCAAGGGTCGTCAGGGAGGCAGGAGGAACGGGCGGGGAGCCCTCCACCACTGCCCTGGCCCAGGAGGACTCCTGACCCTGAGACCACTCCCCAGACCCCCCCATGCTCCTCCCTCTCCCACCTCCTCTTTGGGCCGGCCAGGGCCTGGTGGAGGACCAGGCAGCTGAGGGTCCTGCCAACACCCCCCCCCCCCCGCTCCTACTGTGGCCCCCCCGTCACGTGCGCATCTCCTGGCCTTCTCTGCCACGACCAGGCTTCTCCCTCCTTAGTTGCTGCTGCTAGCACCGCCACCATGGTCAGTGCGCCCGCTTGCTGGTTGACTCGTGTTCTCACCTTGTGTCTAAAGAGAGTCCGATACTTGAATCTCCAGCCCAGGGAGCAGGCCTGAAGGCAGCCTCTGGCCACCCCCTCCCTGGGCACTGTGGCTCCTGGCGGCACCCCGCCCTCACTCACCCTCACCTCCACACTGGCCCTCGCCTGCCGTCCACTCATGTGCGGTCCAGGCCTTCATCGTCATCCCCATCTCCTCTGGCGGCTTGTAGAAACTGGGCAGCGACCCGCCCGTGCCCATTCTTACCCTACTTTGTTCTTATTTATATAGGACGTGGAATGTTGAATATTAAACCACAGATTTTATTGTGCATCTGGACATGACTAGCTCACAGGCGACGTGCCCCCTTATCGTTCTGTGTGTCTGCCGTCCCAGGGCAGCCCCCGGATGGGGGACCCTCGAGAAAGGCACCAGGTGTGGACCAGGAAGGGCCTCCTCCCCAGTAACTTTTCCTGAAGAGCCTGCTTTGTAGGTAGTGAGCTCCCCATCTCAGAGCTCTTCAGGCACCTCCCTGTGCCCAGAAGTGTGGGGGGCACTTGTGCCTTGGACGGGATGACCCCTGAGCTCTCCAGCCAGGAGGGTCTCTGATTCGGGGCCTGCGGTCTGGCCTCTCGCCAGGACCGTCAGTTGGCAGGCGGCTTAGGGCTGTAAAGGTCATTGTGGTTTCTCTCTGGGCGGCTTGGGAGGGAACCCCAGGCCCGCTCCCATGAAGCAGGGGGAGGGCCGACATGGGGGACCAGCCCAGAAGGGCGCAGGAGGCAGTGGGCCCAGCAGCCTCCCGCCTACTCCACAGGGGGACAGGGTAGTTCTAGGCTGGTTTTCTGCAGAGACCTTCCCACTCCCCGGGGGTGGAGCAGGGAACCACGTGAAGGCCCCAACAGCTCTGGGCTTCTCTGGGGCCATCCAGCTAGCAAGGGCGTGGAGGTTCACACTGTCCGGATGGGTGGCGAGGGAGTATGTGGCAGTTCGCCCAGTCAATCAATAAACATTTATTAAGCACCTACTATGTGCCAGGCACTGTGCCATGCGATGCCCTCCCTGGACCCCAGGGCCATCCTGCCCCTCCAGCCAGCCCGCTAGCCCTCCCTTTCTATCTCTTGCTCTTGCTCTGAGAACAGTCAGGAAGCCAAGGCCGCCATTGTCATGGGACAGTGGGCCATCCCGCCCGGGACGCCATGTGACTGCCCGATGCCTGTCCTGCCTCCCATATAAGCTCGCTCGCTTATAGAGCTCAGAACCTCAGGCAGATGGAAGCGCCTGCCTCCAGAAGTGATGTCCCAGACTCGGGGTTTGGTTTCCAGGGGCAGGCTGTGCACTCCCGCTCCTCAAACTGGAGCTCCGGAGCCCCCAGTGGCGACCTTCCCTATTACAGTCAGCCAGTAGCCACAGGTATTAGCTCAAAGCAAAGGCATTTACCTGTGAGTAAGAAGCGCAACTGCAGCCCTACCCCTAACCGCCTCCAGCAGCCCTGAGGTTGCACCCCCCCACAAATACCCTCACTGAGGGAAGGCAGGGTCCGCGCCCCGCTAGTGAGCTAGGAAGGTGTGGGGCCAGGGTAGTGCACACCTCTAGCTTCTCCTCAGAGTGGTCCTATGCTGCTTCTCCACCCCACGTACATAGCATCTCTGCTGGGTGGGGTGCTCAGATGTGTTCCATGGGCATGCTCCTCAGCCTGGCCCCCAATGGTCTTCAAGCATTTACTAATGTGCAGGTGCTGTGCTAAGCACTAAATGCAAATACAAGTAAAATGCCGACAGTCCCTGCCTTCAGAGACCTTCCATTCCAACTGGGGGGGGGTGGAGATCACACATGCCAGGAAGCTGCCAAGGGGGTGGGGAGGCCAGGACAGGGCCAAGTCCCTGGGGGCTGGTGAAGGCTGTCCAGGGTGCAGTCTGGAGAGGACTGAGACCCAGCTGGCCCCAATGCCCTCCTTAAATGGGGGAGCCCTCCAGTCAGAGGGGAAGGCTGAATGGGCAGGGTGCTTCTGATGGATGGCTGGCCCGAAGACCTGGCTCTCTTTTCTGCTACCAGGGCTCATGCTCTGTGATGCCTCTCTTGCTCACTCCCTGCAGAGGGGGGGGTCTCCTCCTGGGAGGGTAGGTCTGCTGCAGAATGCCCTGGCTCGGGGCAGAGTGGGGGCAGGGGCAAAGGAGAAAGATCCCTGCCCCGCCGCTGCCCTCGGGCAGAAGTGGGGGAGGCACACCCCACCAAGCCTTGAATGTCCCGCACCTGTGCTTGTGTGGCCGGCCAGCAGGGGAGGCCAAGGACTCCTTCCATTTCAGCCAGAGAAAGGTGGAATGGGGGTGGGGTCAAACCTCGCTACCCTGTTACCATCTACCCTGTACTGTCTATGATCATAGCAACAAAGCTGGGCCCCCCATTCTTCAGCCAAACATTGTGTTGTATGTGTGTGCGTTGACTCACACCCCTAAAACTAGAGCTCGGGAGCCCCCGCTAGTAAGTTTGACTCTAATTGCCAATAAACACAATTAGGTGAAGGCTAGCATTGACTAAGGCAGCCTACTGAGTTTTAGTTACAGAAAGATAGACAGACAGACAAACTGGAGAGAGACTTGGATATGCTAGAGACAGGCACAGAGAGAGTGAGGGAGCACAGGCAGAGACAGCCCTCTGGCAAACACTGCTCTCCAGAGACCCTCCCTTCAGTCACCTCTCCTAAGTGCGTTCCCAATCCCATACATCCAGAACCCCCATGCCTCTGGGTCACGCGGCTTACTGCAATCCTGGGCTTAAGAGCTAAAGCCAACACTTGAAACAAAGATGAAGGACTGAAGAAAAGGCCTTCTTGAGCCCAGAGGGAAAGGCTGCGGGCCTCCATGGAAGTCTAGTCCCTGCCTTGGGGCTGGGTGCAGGAGGGTCCGTAGCCCCTCCCCAGGCAGCGGGGCCACCAGGGCACAGCCACGCCTCTTCCCCAGCACCCGGCCAGGCTCAGCCATCCTCTTTCCAGTCCTGCCCCCTGAGGACCTCAGTCACCGACCCCGTGGTGGCCTTCGCCAGCAGCCTGGACGCTCCTCAGCGTGGGGAGGAGGGGTCTCCCCAAAGACCTCAGGTTTTCAGAAACAGAGACCTCCTGGCTGAGGGAGCTGCCGCTCCTCCCAGGGGCCTTGGCCAAATTTCCCAGAAGCCTTCTCCAGGCCCCTTGGGTCGGCCCTGGCTCTCCAGGCTGTCCCACGGATAGGTCTGGAGACCTGCTGAGGGCGCTAGCTTCTTCTTTGTGCGTCAGGTGGTCAGCAAGCATTTATGAAGCATCTACCACGCGTGCCAAGCCACGTGCTAAGTGCCGGAGGTATGGGGAGAAAGGGTCCCTGGCCTCCGGGAGCTCCGCGGCAAGTGGAGGCAGCAGCTCCCACACGAGGGGCTGGAACAGGCCGAGGGTCCATCGGAGACGGTCAAGGGAGGGGAGGGATGGGGGGGGGGGCCGGGGGGGGCTTCCGGGGGGGGGGGGGGGGCCCGGGGAGAGGAGGGGCCGTTAGGAAGGGCTCTGAAGGCCCAGCAGAGCTGTTTGTATTTGCTCCTGCACGCCAGAGAGAGCCATTGCAGGTTATGGAGTAGAATGTGGTGTGGTCAAACCTGGACTTTGGGGAGATCCTTTAGTATCTGAATGAAGGATGGACCTGAGTAGGGAGAGACTGAGGCAGGCAGATCCCCCCCAGTGATAACTGCAGTAATCGAGGCCTAAAGTGATGAGGGGCCTGCACTGGGGTGGGGGCTGTGTCAGGGAAGAGAAGGGGGAGGATTTGAGGACAGGCCTGGGCACCACGCTGGGTCTGGGGGGTGAGAGAGAATGAGGAGTCCAGGATGACCCCCAGGCTGGGGGCCTGAGGGCCTGGGAGGGCACTCACAGGGAAGGCTGAGGGGGGAGGGTTTAGGGGGAAAGGTCATGAGCTCTGTTTGGACCTACCGAGTGTGACATCCACTGGACGTCTAGTTGGACATGTCTGAGGCAGCTGGAGATGTGAGATGGTCGGGGCAGGACAGGCAGATCTGAGAATCATCAGCAGAGATGGCCATTCAATCCATGGGAGCTGATGAGATGACCCAGAGCAGTGGGCCCAGGACCGAGCCCTGGGGGACGCCCATGGCAAGAGGGCCTGGTCTGGAGGAGGGTCCAGAGGAGGAGACATAGCAGTAACATCAGGTCCGAGCTGGAAGGAGGGTTAGTGCAATTCAAATTTCAGAAGCAGCCGGACCCAATCATGGGCACCCCACAGCTGGCCCCTGTCATCACACAATGGCCGGCTGGTAGGAACCTTCAGGGAGCCTCGGGTCCAACCCTTCTCCCATTTCTGAGGCAATAGGCCCAGAAGGGGAAGCGACTGGTCCAGCCTCACACAGTGTCCAGTCCAAGGCTACCACATTTCTCTTGGAGTTGGGCAGAGATCCCTTGGAGGCCTTGATTCACCCTGTGCACCCGTCCTGAGGCCAGAGAAAGCCTCCTGAGTACTGGGTGAAGCGGGAGGGGGCTTTTCACCCCTTTTCTGGGGTTAGCCAGGAATTCTTCAGGAAGGATACATATCAGACACATGAGGAGAGGAGGGTAAGGGAGTGGGGGTGATGGGGACCAGAGGGCCTTTGGCTGCCTCATTCCAGGGCCCAGTAGCTTTTCTGGGCCACTCCCAATGGCAGTCAGCAGATGTTCAAAGGGCACAAAAGCCAGAGGCCACAGGACCCCTGCCCCCACGGGTCTGGCAAAGCCCTGTCAGCATCCCTGGGTGTCCATTCCCACTGGACAAATGAAGAATGGATGGAAACAGACGGCTTTGGGGCTTGCCAGCGGGTGTGGCGAGCAGGAATGCGTCCAGTGTCAAACTCTGGAGGGAGGGCCCTGGCCAGGGAACAGGGACGGGACAGCCCAGTCTGGGTCCTCTGCCCTGTTCAGATGCCCCCCCCCGGGATGTCTGAGTCGCTCATAACTCAGGAAGGACTGGAGAAGATGGTGAGTGGCCACAGGAGGGCCATGAGGACGTTTTGGAGGGGACAGGGGTCTGGAAGCAATGACAGAGGCGTGGAATGGCTTGGGTTCTCTGGGCCCCATGACTTCCTGCACTTCATGGCCGCCTCCCTCCCACACCCCAGAGAGGAAAGGTCCAGAACTTAGGAATGCAAATGGGCTTTGGTGAAGGACAGTCTTTGCATCAGTCAATCATTAAGCACCAACTACATGTCAAGCCCCGGGCCAGACTCTGGGGAGGAAAAGACAAAGAATCCTGGTCCTTGGTGTGGGAGAAATGTCTCACCCGGAACATCACGGCTGGCCAATAACATTCCTCCCACAATGCAGAAATCCTG